AGAGTTTTAACCAGTGTTTTGCAAGAGACATGCAGAAACTAGGGGTATCTTCCATTTGATAGATTTCTTGGTAAGGTCAAAGGAAATGGCAAAGAATGAATATGTGAATTTAACTTTGGATTTGTTCACTTAATGTTCAAATTTGACTTCACTACCATGCCTCATCCCACTACCCACCTCCCCTCTTGAGCCTTCCATAGAGAACCACTCACAAGGGGATGTCTAGTATTTGAAACTCCAGTGAGCAGAAGACAGGAAAAGCTAAGAATCACTATTAGCTGATATCCAGCTTACCACGCTAGAACTTTATTTCATTCTTGCTATTCACTGAAATCTGTTATTTTGCTGGTGATTGTTCTGAAATCCCAGCCTGTGAGATACCTGGAAGATAAGTTTAGCCTTTCAGAGACTCTTGAGCAGAGTCAAAGAAAGAAATGGGAGGCTTACCAGAGAGTGGTTAATCAGGGAAGCATATTCTCACCAACTGATGCAATTGTCTGCTCAGAGCTCTCTCGGGGCAGAGAACAGCAGATTCAGCAGCCAGCTGCCTTTAAGATGCTTGTAAGAGTGTGTGAAGCCACACAAGGGCATTTGCCTTCCTGAGGAAGGATCCAAGGTAGCTCTGAAAGACTATCTTTAGGGCTCCTTCCACTCTGTCCCAAGAGTCTAAGATACGTTTGCCTCAAGTGTTGGAATTATTACTCTCTCCGTCACCACAAAGTCAGTTTGTCTCATTCTAGTTGTGATCACTTCACTTTTCCAACCTCTCTACTCAGATCCAAACCTTTTATCAGGAAGAACCAGGTGCAAAAACAACATTTTCTGAAGCACATTATGCCACACTATGGAGAGAGATCCTTTCCCCTTCTTCCTAAGCACAAAAACAAGTTTCAGACCCAAAAATTGTCAGGCAGCTAGAGGCTTGCATATCATCCTGAGCTAAAGAGAGAGAATAGGGGCCTGGGGCCTCAAGGGAAGTAAGGCAATTCACAGGAAGATGAGCAAATGTGTAGTAAACAAATGTTTGTCATGCCAAGTCAAGGTAAGTCTTTCAGATGTAAAAAGTTACCTCTGGGGCCCTTCCTGCTGGCAGAGGAGTTAAAGTCTCAGCACTATGAAGTTATCTGCAGCCTCTGCAACAGGAGTTTGATCCCCAGCCAGGGAGCTGATCCACATGGCATAGCAGACCTCTCCTGTCCTGCCGCTGCTTCCATCGGCAGTGTATTTCAGTCAATCTGCCTGTTCTGCTCCCCACTCTGTCTCTGGTGAATCCTCTCACCACCACCACTCCCCTCTACCCCACAAAATCTGGCCTAGACTCCAGTTCTTGTATGCATAAATAAATAAACCTTTAGAAAAAAGTTATCTTTGGTATTAGCTCTCTTTCTATTATAGGCCCATGTCTAAATTATTTTAGGAGCTGAGAAAGATAAGCCTCTTTCTCTGAGTTTTCTGGGTCTTAATTACCTTCAGCTTAAAATAATCTACATCCCTTCAGCTCAAAATAATTCACATACCAAAGTGGTACACTGATGGTAGTGTGGAGTGTTGTGGTGTTTTGTTCCCCCTCATCACCCAGTTTGGCCTACATGAACACTTGGGTGACTCACAAGGTGGTATGTTCAACTAAGTGGTGATTAGCCTTATGATAAGGGGTTATACTAACCCAACAAGGGAATCCAGGTGGCTGAGTCAGTTAAAAAGCCCTCAGTTCCCTTTGGAGCAGGCCACCAACTTATCAGCCTACAGTTGGCATTAGTGAACAGAAAAGCATCGTGCCCAGGAAGGTCAAGGAGGAATTCCAATTTCTAAAATAATACAAGCTTATTCTCATTGTTATACAAGAAGTATCTTAAGAGCTCATCCCTTCCTGAATAGTCACATGCAGTGACCAAGTTGCTTCATTGAGGTGTATGGGCCAGAAGGAGATGAAGGAGCTAGAGATAAAAATCTCTATGATTGGCCTTTCCAATACTCCATATAGTATCAGAGGCCTGTGACTGGGAGAACACAAATTGTTCATCAGAAATTTCAACTATCAGCACGCTGTTGAGTCGCTTTCGTGATTAAAAAAAGGGAAGAAAAAAAAAAAGCTCACCACTGTCAGGCTGCAAATAGTCCAGAAAGCTGAAGATGTGACAAGGATTAGTTTCAAAGGCCACGACAGTGTGGCTGGAATCAGTTAATTTGACTAGAATATGGTAAATTAAGAAAGTGTGAAGGCAGTGAGGCAACACAGATAGCCCTGATGGATTCCATCTGCTAAGAGCAAGGAGGTGGAGTAATGGTCCAATCTTAGCAACCTCCTTCCTGAAAGGCATCAGAAGTCTCAATCTGGCTTGTGGGGGCAGACCCTGCATCAGACTGGTTCCCTGACTTTGTACCTAGCTGAGCACAGATGTGTGGCCTTACCCTATACAGGGATGATCCAGGCAGCAGTGGTGGCAATCTGGGGATACAATGGTGATGTGAACAGCAGCTTGATGCCAGAAAACTGGTCTTTTTTATGAGTATCTACCTGAGTGACCCAGAGAGGGATATTGATTTCTTCTTCACTGCAAAAACTGCCCCAATCTATCAATTAAATTCTGGTGCCTTCTCCCCCCATGGGACTTTGTAGGATGATTTGGGTGTCCGCCTCCAACGAGGCCATGGAAGCTTGAATCTCTCCCATTTACAGAGTTTCCCAGCATACTCAGGTCCTGGCCTTAATCATCTCTCATTTTAATGAAACTGAAGTCAAGAGAGAAAAGGAGAGAGGAGACACCACAGGAGAGAGCATCTCCACACCAAGAAAAAGGTTTTGCTTTCCATTTAAGTGCCCACCCCATCAAGATTTAGCCAAATGAACTAATGTTTTCAGACCACCTAAAAGTCTGTATTGAAAAACATGTCTCTCATTACTAACACCACTGATTTCAATTTTGGGGATTCAGGGCTTAGCAGTCACAGCCACATTATCTTAAAGTTGTCCCATTATGGGCTTCCCTGGTGGTGCAGGGGTATAAATCTCTGGTCTATCAAGCTATCGCCAGCCACTGCGTTGAGTTTGATCCCTGGTCAGGGACCTCTCCTGTCTCCTGCTGCTCCCCTCAGCAGTGTACCGAGTAGATCCAACTGTTCTGCTCCCCACTCTGTCTCTGGCAAGTCCTCTCTCTGCCCGTACCTCTGTTTATATGCATAAACAAATGAAAATAAATCCTAAAAAAAAAAAGTCCATTGTCACAGGAGGCCTTCCTTTACCCCCTCAAAGCAGTGTGACCAACATTTAAGGCAGCTGTTTTTTCAATCCTTCCTCTCACTGCTAAGTCTCTAGCATTAACAAACAAATAGAACAGGGGGGAAGACTTATTCACCTAAACCATCCAATTCTTGGGCAAAAAGCATTCATTACGGGATACAAGGGTAGTTGTCTCAACTCTGGATGTTGAGATCATTATCCTTTCTCTTGCAGAAGATGCAGAAGCCCATCCATCCTCATAACCAAAATCTTTAAGAACAGTGAAGGGTCTGAGCCACTACCCTACTTGCAAGTTAACTAGCCAGTATGGCACAATGTTACAAGTGCTGGCACTGGATATGAGATTCCAGGGTCAAATACAAACACAGTTTTGCAATAGCCAAAGTATCATTTTCTTATTCTAGTTCCCAAAACCCAGTTTCAATAGGACAATGCAGAAGGTCAGGTGACACACGTGCAGAGGGATATATTGCAGGAGAGGAATCCAGAGCAGAGGGAAACCAAACCTTTCCTCGTGTCCTTTGCTCCAGAGAGATACCATCTTCTAAGGCACTACGTAAACCTGCCCTTAGTTGAGCAGAGAGACACTATCTCTTTGCTATCACACAAGCATCCTCGAAAAATATTCCAGAATAAAGGCTGTCACTATCTCTGCAACAAAATCACACAGAAGGGTAACAGATCATAATGGAGAATTGTCCAATAAATTGTAAGCGGATAAAGTTGAATGATCTCCACATTTATTATTTACAAAAAAAAAAAAAACAGGCCAGACAATTGCATCAGTTGATGAGAATATTTCCCCGATTACCCATTCACTGGTGAGCCTCCCACCTCTTTTTGACTCTGCTCAAGAGTCTCTGAAAAGCTAAACTTATCTTCCAGGTATCTCACAGGCTGGGTTTTCAGAACAATCACCAGCAAAATAGCAGATTTCAGTGAATATCAAGAATGAAATAAAGTTCTAGAATGGTAAGCTGGATATCCTGTCTTCTGCTCACTGGAATTTCAAGTGCTAGACATCCACTTGTGGGTGGTTCTCTATGGAAGGCTCAAGGAGTGGTGGGGAGAGTGGGGGAGTGGAGTCAAATTTGAACATTAATTGAACAAATCCAAAGTTAAATCCACATAATTATTCTTTTGTTTGAGATGAGGTAGTACAAATACAGTTCGGACCTAACCATATTCATCCATTTTTAACTATTTCAAAACTAAATTACATACTATCATCAACATCCCTAATAATAATATCATCATCCCTAATAATAATGATATACATTGATTCTTTAAAAATACCAAACTTTTATGTATTACTTAGTACCTGTGGACTACAAAAACTTCAAAGGTCTAATCTTTAAAATTTAGGGCCAGGCCTTCCCTGGTGGCACAACAGGTTGAAGCACAGCACCATAAAGCTGTGACCCATATGGCACAGCAGACCTCTCCTCCCTCTCCCCACTTCTCCCCTCAGCAGTGTATTTCAATACATCTGCCTGGTCTGCTCCCCACTCTGTCTCTGGTGAATCTTCTCGCTGCCCCATACCTCTAGCCTATATTCCAATTCTGTATGCATAAATAAATAAATCTTGAAAATAAAATAAAATTTAGGGCCAAAAGCATCCACATCTTTAAAATTAACAAAACTTACTCTGGAAGGCATGTTAAAATAGGTCTAATTAGAAATATTTATGTAAAGATATATAAAAACCAGATTAATATTTAACCACTGAGGAAAAAAACATACTGACATACCAGCTGATTTTTTTCTCTTTGAATTTAATGAGTTTACAATCAAAATACTAGGTAGTCATTTAACACTTACAGAATAAAAATCTTTTTAAAAAAAATACAAAGAGTGAAAGGATTTTAACCAAGTTTACACTTCTTTTTGCTAGAACTTTTAACTACAATTCATCTCTTCATATCTTATTGCAATGTGCAAATGCATTTACAGCACCCAGTACAATCATGAAACTCAATTTAAGGAAGTACATTGTTAGTAATGGTCCTTACAGGAAATTGATGTACTTTCTATTGAAAAACTCTATAGAGTATATAAACACCACATAACAATACAGCTTAACCACCTTTTGTCATAAGAATCACCACCAAAGTTTTCTGGAATGAGCCTATATAAGAATTAAATATTTAAAAGATGAAATGTTTATTTTAACTTTAGCAAGATCTTTCTTTTTCATTGTAAGAAACTTTAATAGTTTTAAAGCAAAAGTTGTTAGAGTCTAAATAGCTGAACTGTACTCCTGAGTTCAAACTTACAGATAAGACTTTTGTAAATAATTCTCAATAAAAGATCCTCCCTCCCCAAACCCCTGACCCAAATCTTGTATTGTTTCTTACAAAACTTTGGTCGAGTAGAAATATATCCAGGCAGATGTATATGCCATACAATAGCAAGAACAGTAAAGCCCAACCAATGACTTTGGGTTGTAGAAATAGAAGGCAATTAAAATGTACTCAAAGTTACAATAAGAAAAGCTTTCACAGGGGCAATATTGAAACAGTCACAAAGATTAAGAAAATACTTATCAAAGTACAAATGACTACAATGTTAAAATAGACAAAAACTACTATACAAGAGCCTCTTTTAAAATTAAAAATAAAGAACACAACGCATGAGTCAGGATTATCTTCCTGTTCTACTCATGAATTTTAGTCTCTATATTCATAAGGTTGGTTATGTTGACATCTAGTAGAGTTTCTTATGACAGCTGATGAAGTCTCATTTCAACTTCAGAGGGTGGTTCTTTCCTGCAGAATCTCCGGATGTGGGTCGCATCTTGGTCACTGTACAATTTCAAAGTAGTGCAATATTGCCATAATGTGCTGGGGCATGAAGACATAGCCCGTGTAGAGAGCCATCCCCACGATGGAAACTAGCATGGAATCTGGGGTATAGTTAAGGAAGCACCTTTTTTCTCAACTCATTCAAAACGTAAATTCCAATTTTTTTCAATTGCCTTATGTCGAAGTACCCATTCACTTAATGCTTTCTCATATCAAGTATTTGTACAGATCATAGTTAGAGTCATTAACATTGACTGCGCCTAGCACCAAGGTAGACACTGTTAATCCATTATACTCCAAAACATCAGACTGTTTAAAATTAAGCAGTGACACCATTCGATCTCAGAAACGGGGATATACAGGGATACAATTTTTTTTAAATATTTATTTCTGCAAAAAAAAAAAAAGATTTATTTCCGCATACAAGAACTGGGGTACAGGTCAGAGGTGCAGGGGATGAGAAGATTCACCAGGGAAAGAGTAGGGAGCACAACAGGCAGACTGAACTGAAATACACTGCTGAGAGGATCAGTGGACAAGACAGGAGAGGTCTGCCACGCCATGCATGTCACCTCCCTCGTGGGGGATCATGCTGCAGTAGCTGCAGACAGTTTCACAGTGCTTCACTTTAACCCACTGCATCACCAGGGAGGGTCCAGTTTTTAATAAAAACAATTGTATTTAAAGGTACACCAACCTAAAGAAGTATAAGAATTATGACCCAAGAATTTCAGAATTATTGAGATTTAGGAAGTGGCTAAGAGTATTTGACTTTGGAACCAACAAAGTGAAATCAGTCATACACTAGTTACACATAAACTGACAGCACCTGCTACTGCTAAATGCTTATCATCATCATCACTAACCTCAAATAAAGTCATCTTGATAACCTAAACAATAAGCATTCTGTACAGTGTTCCTTCCTCTCATTCCAAAAAAGAACGGAAGTGATGCATGTGTCAACAAGGGGCCCTTCTCAGAGGCCATAAAACATACTAAGAGAAATGATGTGAAATCTAGGCTTTCATCTTGCTAAGTCACATCGACATGCTAAGAGGAATAGCAGCTCCTGAACCAGGACCATGTTTGATTCACCCTTTCATTCATGTTCTCCTCTCTCCCCCTCCTGTCTTTCATACCTTTAGCTCTACGTACATACTAGGAGTGCTGTAACACCTTACATTCTTTTACGATAAAATATGGCTTATACAAACAATGTGTATGCTTGCCAGTTAATATCTTTGTTTAATTAACACAACTCTTTCATATATTACCTTGCCTAACCCACACAGCTTTCCTGTAATATGTTTACTGTGATCATTACTTATCAGAGGATGAAAAAAAAAATCCTGAGTGACTTATCCGGGGCCATACAAGATGCTGTTTTCAGAGCCAGGGTTCAGGTGAAACAATCTAACTCAAACCCTAAACTCATTCTCCTCACCTAATAAACTCAGGGGTAAGTCTCCCATAATCATTTATTAATTCCCTTTATAAACTTCCCTTAATCCAGTTATTTCTTAAACTACTATGTAATTTTTTTAGAGTATCACTGCTCTCATTCTGACCGCCCACACAACCACCTGACTCCTACTTCTCCAGGTCACAGACAGGACTCTCAGGTCACCAATTACCTCCTAAGAAGTTGACACCATGAGTCCTTCCTCTTCACAACTCTTTCCATGCTCTCAGAGGCCTAATCTACAGGAATAAGCCCCAACTGATCTTAACCAATTAGTAAGCCCCTTCTCTTTATAACACTCACCCTTCAAAGCTGATCAACCAGTTCAAAGTTTATTACTTCGGCTAGGAATTCAGGAATACAGATATTCTCTTTCTCTTTCTAGAATATGCAGTTCACTGCTGCAATGCTGGAATCATAAGTCTCTAGTCATCCACTAGAATCACAAGCCTCAGAATAAAGTGCTACATGAAGGTGGTGAAAGAAAAATCAACGCAAAAAAACGGAAGCAGAACCTTGACCAAACCACCTTAATCCCTCTTTTTCAATGGACTTTCAAAACATAAGATAATAAATTCCCTTTATTCCCTTTTTTAAGATTTATTTATTTATGCTTACAGAACTGGGGTACAGACCAGAAGTGTGATGGGTGAGAGGCTTCACCAGAGACAGAGTGGGGAACAGAACAGGCAGATGTACTGAAATATACTGCTGACGGGAGCAGCTGGCAGGCTAGGAGAGGTCTGCCATGCCATGTGGGTCAGCTCCCTGGCTGGGGATTGAACTCATGATGCAGTGGCTTCTGAGAGCTTCATAGTGCAGTGCTTTAACCTGTTGAGCCACCAGGGCCCTCCCTTTATTCTTAAACCAGTCTGAGTTTCATGTTCTTCATTACTTTGCAGTTGAACGCATTCTAAGTAATAAAATGGCATGCAAATATTCTGTCTTGGGCTCCAACGCCCATTATAGAAACATTCACCTTAAATTTTGCTCATCTGGCACTGCTTTCCACACTACAGACAAGTGTTTTCTACAAATTATTGAACACTTCCACTTAGGACTTCACAAAGGCACTTTATATTCAATAGAACCAAAGCTGAATCAACTTTTCCCAACACTACCCCCACGAACCTTACTTTTTCAACTATTTGAAAGTAGTTGGTACTATGCCCTCCCTAATGGCTCAACAGGTTAAAGGGCAGCACTATGAAGCTGTCCGAGCCACTGCAGCATGAGTTTGACCCCTGGCCAGGGAGGTGACCCACATGGCATAGCAGACCTCTCCTCACCAGCCTGCTGCTCCCCTCAGCAGTGTATTTCATTCAGTCTGTCTGTTCTGCTCCCCACTCTGTCTCTGGTGAATCCTCTCACCTCTGCACCACTGGCCTGTACCCAGTAGGTGACACAACTATAGATTACCTGTTTCCCTAGTCACCCAGTGTAGAACATCTTTGATTCCTCTATCCACATTCAAATTATCTCAGTTCTCCCCTTCCCAAGCTCTATAAGGGATTAATATCTCGTTTTTCTAACCCTAGTCAATGATAAATAACTAAGGTATTTATCACTCCTTCCTTAATTGGTACAAATTCCCATTTTAGGCCTCTAGCCACCTGTTAATGTTACTCTTCACTAGAGTGCCTACAGGTTTAGCACTTAGATAAGCCAGCATCCATGCTCCTCCAGATCAAGCAGTTTTAGACTGGAGTCCACACAAGTAGGCAGGCATTAAGAGACTAAGACAGGGTTTCTTACACCAGCTATTTTTGAAGGAGTTATATCAAAAGAGGAATGAGTACAGCAGGGAAAAGAAGCTAAGCAGATTCAGGGGCTCAGCTCCCACGGGTACCCTGAAGTGCCAGTTGTACCACATAATGGTCAGTGGTGCTATGAGACAAGGGGTCTGGCCTCTCGTATCTCTCTGTCAATCAGTAGGGTAGGGAAAAAAACCACCTGAGGGAGACAACTATCTTGGCCAAAGACAAGACTCTGGAGAAGGGGCAGCTGGAAGGCGTCAGCAGACGACACTTGGACATGTACAGCAGCTAGGAGATCCATACAGCAGCTGGGGGTCCAGAGTCCCTATTCTATTCTGTCCACTGTATTCGCAACACCTCAATCATCCCCACAACAAAAACACATCCTACTTGTAGCCATGTTGCATATTTCCAAAAATAGTGTTCTTTTTTCATATTTTCATAGTATTTTACTTTTTGCCCGTGGCTTACTAATGAGTCACAATAGTAGTAGCAGCAGCTTTTGTTTTCTGACTGCCTAGTGTACGGATGCCTGACACTGTATTAAGCATGCAGAGATTTCAAGGATAGTGGTTCCTTTGTAGTTAAAATGAGGAGAGGAAGAGGGGAAAAGCAAGTGAGAAGGAGCATAAAGGTAGCTTCACAAATAAAATTTTTCTTCAGCTACTTGGTAGTGCATGCATATTCATTATTTTATTCTATATGGTTCTGGAGTGATTTTTTTGTAAACCTGAGTAGTCAATAACTTTTTTATTAACTAAGAACTGTAATGGAAAATAGAACTACATTTAGTATTAAAATTTCTTTTTGACTGAAGGATTTTTCTTCTTTACAAGGAAGGGCTTAAGAGCCTCCCTGGTGGCACATGGGTTAAAGTCTCAGTGCTATCAAGCTATTACCAGTCACTGCAGCATGAGTTTGATTCACTGCCAGGGAGGTGACCCAAATGGAGACCTCTTCTGTCTTGCCCGCTGTTCCCCTCAGCAGTGTATTTCAGTCGATCTGTTTGTTCTGCTTCCCACTCAGTCTCTAGTAAATTCTCTCACCACCCTGCACCTCTGGTCTACACCCCAGTTCTTGTATGTAAAAATAAGTCCTCAAAAAAAAAAAGGAAGGACTGAGTTGAGCATCTTGGGATCTAATTACTAATAAATAAACAGGAAGTTTTACCTCTCAGAAACAGAATAAACAACTTTCAAGAGTTCTAGCCAAGATAAACAGAAAATTATCAAGTCACTGAGCCTAAATGCCAATTTATAAGCTGCTCAGGAAAAACAACACCCTAGTCACTTTGTCATTGCTTGACTTTTATCTTGTGTCAACCCATAAATGTTTCCATGATCCCACTTCTCCTATTTCCAAGATCACGATAATTAAACAAAATTATTGCCAAAAATCATCCTAAAGCTCGTAGCCACTCAACTCTAAGGAATATTTAAAACAGACTCCAGAATGCAGGGACTGTGCACTAAGCACATAAGCTGACAGTAAGACGTGAGAACGCCCTACCAGCGGTACCACGGCTTTGCCAAAATAGGCACTTGTATAACTGCCTACGAATGCAACCTACATAGCCAATTTAAGCTATGTAGCTGAAATTGCTTTGATATTCTGCGTCGGGATGATTTTGAAATCTGTTTGTACCACGTAAAATGGTCGCTTTATTGACACTTTTAGGCAGTAGGTTTTTCCTCACAATTTTGCTTTCGTTACTTACTTATCTTGATGTTGGTGTCTGTAACCAAATTTATCCCTGAAGCCCAGGAGAGGGTGTCAGGGCCCATGAGTCACAGTGTCACTGTCGCAGCCTTTTGGGCCCATGTCTGCCATGGGTGGGGCAGGCACCGAATTTGACACAGCTGCACAGACCCTGGTTTCACTG